TAGTTACAAAGTCAAATTTGATTCTCATTTCAACTTTTAATGAGCAATAAGCATCCAATTTGTTTGAAAGTCACGTTCTCTAGATAACGTTGTCAAATTTTTCTCTTCCCTAGGATGACTTTATTCTCAGGTAGGCTATTTCTAAGTGGTGGCAAGAAGACCAGTTTCCTGGTTTACCTTGTACCTGCTGGATAAACCTTCCTTCTTTCCTGATAGCTCAAGCGTAAGAGCCAGGTAGGGCTGTCACCGGCTTTTGTCGGGTGTGACGCCCTTCATGGTGTGTTCACCACAGACAAAGGGAGGAAAACATTGGTTGTTCATGGATGAGTCTCACACCTGGGCCAGGGACACAGAGGGGAATTGCAGGCAGCCTCCAGTCTGACACAGGCACACAGGAGGTTGTATTTCCTGGGGTGGGCTGGGCTGAGAGAATGCAGGTGAGTGCTGGACAGGAATAAAAACAACAGGCGTTCGGAGTAGTCTCTGTTCCTGTTTTTCTCCACTATTGTGGAATTGCTCTGCTAACAGAGCTTGCAACTGCATCAGTTGGAGTTAGGGTTAGACAGTCATAAAGAGTGACCATAGGCCATTGGTTCAAAGAGCAGAGAAGTTCAACTCTTGGTGGTAGTGTGGGCTCTGACACAGAGTCACCCAGAGGCCCAGTCTAATGGGGTGCTCTTGTCACCCTTCATGAGCCTGGCCTCACCACAGAACAGCTGGAAGGAATGGAGATTGAAGCCCAATCACCTTTAAGTACATGATCTGTTGCCAACCGGATTTCTCCTCACTTCTCTTTGTTGTCACCCTAGTTATGGATCCAAATTTGGTCACAAGGAAGACTGGGAAATATAATTTTTAGGAGGGTGATCACGCACTTGGGAAGAAAAAAGGAACAGATTGATTGGGGTGACAGAGTGGGATGGAGGGTGGGTGGGGAGCAACCAGCAGCTGCCACAAACTCTCATGTGAAACTCATACTGCTGGTGTCTGCTTTTTCTCCAACACATTTATTTTGCATTAAGTGGGAAATAGGCTTCCCATATTTCCAACTGGAAATAATAGAAGAAAAGGGTAAACTGAGCCTCTCATTGTGGCTGTCTGCCTCTGTGGAGAGCAGCCTCATGCTCTGGTGTCACCACTACCCCATTCCTCAGTATTTGCCTCATTTGCTGTAGAAGGACTGGAATAAACTAACTTACCCTCAGAGGTGGCAGTGGCTCATCATATGCTAAATGAAACAAGATTAGGAATTGGAAAAGTTTTTTTTTTTTTTTTTGACAGGCAGAGTGGACAGTGAGAGAGAGAGAGACAGAGAGAAAGGTCTTCCTTTTCCATTGGCTCACCCCCTAAATGGCCGCTACAGCTGGCACGCTGCGGCTGGCACGCTGCAGCCGGTGCGCTGTGCCACTCCAAAGTCAGGAGCCAGGTGCTTCCTCCTGGTCTCCCATGTGGGTGCAGGGCCCAAGCACTTGGGCCATCCTCCACTGCACTCCCGGGCCACAGCAGAGAGCTGGACTGGAAGAGGAGCAACCGGGACAGAATCCGGCGCCCAGACCGGGACTAGAACCCGGTGTGCCGGCGCCACAGGTGGAGGATTAGGCTAGTGAGCCGCAGCGCTGGCCAAATTGGAAAAGTTTTAATGTATTCTGGGTCACTAACCAGTTGCACAAATTTGAGATAATTTTTGAATATATTTCTATTAACCAGCAGATCAGCAATCTCTCTGTTTACTCTCTCAAATAAATAAATAAAGCCTAAAAATAAAACAGAACAAAAAACAAAAGGATAACTGAAGTAGGAGCCCTAAAAGGTAGAGACAGAAGATATAGCTGGTATAGAAAAGTGTGTGTGAGTGTGTGTGCGTGTGTGTGGATAGATAGATAGATAGATATGCAGAGAACTAAAAATGACTGTGCTTTTTACTGGAAACAAGGGATACAGAGACAACTAAAATTCACAGTGGGTTCTTTCCCTTCTTTGGCAGCCAAAACCCTATGTTAGCACAGCACCATGACATTCAAGCAAGCCCAGCCTATTTTAAGTAGTTTCAGGTGACAGATTATTGGCCCACAATGAGAAACAGACTGATGGATCACAGAAGAGAAAAAGTTCACCGTACTGTGAACCAAAGAAATTTCTTAATGTCACTCTCCTCATATATAAAAGGAAAATAGGGGAGAATGTTATCCAAAGTCCCTTCCAAAATGACAAAAAAAAATTGCATTACATTGGAAATAGACAGGTGGAGACACATCTCCCTTCTCCAAAATTACTAAGACTTTCCCCCACAAATAGGAAGTCACCCTATAAACCAGCTCACTGGCCTTTAAGATAAGATTGGCCTTGAGGTATTTCTGATTGGGGGTGGGACACCTTGGCAACCTGCACAAGTGTCAGTGCCTTAAAGCATGAGACCCGATCACTTGCCACTTTCCCAGCTACGTGCATATAATGCTATTGGCCCTTTAAACATCCACAGTTTCTGACTCCACAGCCTCCCAGAGCTGAATCACACATATTAATGTTCCACTGCACAAAACACAGGATTTCACCTTTTTATTTGCTCCTGAATGGTTGGCCTTTGATTTTTAATACGTGTCTTTTTGTTCTTGTATTAAAGGACAAGGTAAAGGAATATTGACTGTGTCTGCATTTAAGATGGTCGTTAGCTGAGGGTGGCTGCTTTGTGCTGCCCAGGCTGTCTTTGAAGGACCCTTCCTCAGGGGAGCATTCTGCTTTCCTTTATCACAGCCTTGGCCAGAAAACCCCTCGGAACTGCTAGACGGAAATGCTGCTTCCAAAACTACAGCTCTTGGCTAAACAGTTTTTCTAGGAGTGATGCCATATCACCAGCGACTTGCTGTTGCCAAAAGGCACGGCTCTTCCGCTGGCCCTGCTCTGGGAATGGTACCAAATGATGGTTCAGGCTGGGGGTGGCAGTAAATCAGCAGCAAAAGCTCAAAATACACCCCGGCTTTTAGTACCTTTTATCTGCTTTCCAGATGACTGGCCTATCTCTCTCACCTTCTGCTTCTCTTCCCTTTCCCCTCCCTTCCTGGCTGACAGCAGCATTTTCCTTGACACAGCCCTTCTAATTGTGAGAGAGAAAATTCACACCTTTCAAGGCCAACGCTGTCCAATTTTCACAACTCCTAAGAACGTGTAGCCTTCCCCAGCACCTGTGCACTGCTCTGCACGATAGAGTAGGACTGTTTCCAGTGGGATATGGGTCTGAACCGAGCGTCAGACGCCGGGTTGCAGCCAGGAGAGGGACTGAAGCAGCAGCAGGCGTCTTTCAGCTGAAACGTCACTTCCTCAAAGTCTGCCTTTGGGTTCCAGCAAGCTCAGCCTACAGTGCCGTGAGCTCCTTGGGCCAGGAAACCTGGATCTGGTGACTGCGACTGAGAATGTGTTAGTAATGCAAATCCATCATTGTAGAGAAAAGCCTGGAGGTGCTTCTTGGATGCGGACTTTTTGGGCCATCTGTCTCCATTTTTCATTCCTTTAAAAAAAAATATGGGTTTTCTTTCTTGGTTCCTGGTTCCTCTGCTCTCTCCTTCTCCCTTCCCTTCCCTTCTTTTCTTTCCTTTTCCCTTCCCTATCTTTTCTGTCTGCTTGCTTTCTTAAAATTGGATTGCCTAGGGTAAAGAGTATTACATATGTGCTGCCTTAATTACTGTCTCCACGAAGCCGTGGGTGGCTATTACTTCCTCATTTATATGCAGTGTCAGAGGCCCAGAAGTATGTGTGTCATTTTCACGTTCTGGGTGTCATTTAATACATTGTTGGATATTTGATTTAAAAGCGGCGACTGGCCTTGCTGTTGTATTTCCCGTGGCGCGCTAACCCTGGACGAGTGACTGATGCATGGCAGGTGGATGTGGGGGCGAGTGTCGGAACCGTCCTGATGTCGGCCACTCAGACCCTGGGCAAGGACCGAGCCCCGTGCTCACGAGGACTCTCTGGGTCTTGGAAGGTGCCAGCTCCTCAGACCAAGTTGTTTTTAGTCTCTTGTGGCCCTCTGACCTTGGAAGTGTTTTCCTACAGCCACAGTATTTTCCCAGTTGGAGTTTTATTCAATACCCTTTGTTTCGACTTTAGAAAACACGCCACATGAATAATGACGCCTCAGCCAAAGAAATCGCTTCAGCAGCGTGATTTAACCTCAGGACAAGCCCGGCTCTCGCTTGCCTTTGTGGTTTGCCACAGCAGTCAGTAGGAGCTGTGTCCACACACGCACAGAGGGAGGTGAGGCGTCAGGGTTAGCAGTTACCAGAAGTCCGCTGGTTCGTTTTCAGCACGCTTTATTTAGATGCATCTGAGGCGGGACCGCGCCCCCCGCAATCCCGGCCGGATCCACGAAGGTCCCCACCGGAGCGCGCGGGACATTCCCTTGCCATCAGTGAGAACCTGGATGCAAGAGGATGGAGTGGTGGGGAAATTAAAGGGGTTCGTAGGTCAGTTGTGCGACAGCCTGTAACTTCCCCATATTTGGGACCCTAAAATGAATGTGGCTTTTTGTTGGTGGACTCTGTGAGGCAACCGACGTGGCTTTTGCCCTGGAGATGCGGGTAGCAGGCTGTCTTCTACCGTCGGAAGGCAAAATTACGGACTTCAGTGTCAGGGTAGAAGCCGAGAGGGTGAGTGCCCGGCTCCTGCAGCGTGTGTGCGCCGGCATGACGGCAGACGGCGCGGCGCTCTCCGTCTTCCAGCCGCGAGCCGCGAGCCCCGCGCCCGGCACGCGCGGGAAGCGGAGCCGGCGTTGCCCGCGCCCGGGCGCCACGCCCCTGCGCCGCGCAGCCCGCGACGCCCCGGCCGGCGGCGTGCGCGGAATCGGAACCGCGCGCAGCCTGAGGGGAGGGGCGCCTGAGGATACCCCCGTCTTGGGCCGCGGAGGTCCCACCGCGCTGGGCCGGAGACGCTGGAAAATGACCCGCGAAGCCGTGGCTTCCACCTGAGACGAAGCCTCGAGCTCGCAGCTGCCGCGTCCCGGGAGGTGGGTCAGGAGCGGCGTGGGGCGCGGCGCGGCGCGGCGGGAACCTCCCCTGGGTCCGCCCCGAGCTGCGGCCCTGCCGGTCCCACCCCCGGCACAAGTCGACTGGGTGCACAGGTCCCCGGGGACCCGACCGCGCGGCGCCAGGAGACCCAGGTGTGCGGGAGAGGGCGTGCGGGGCCCTGCCGGCCGGGTCCGGGCGCCACACGAAGCCGGGCGGGCTTCCCCAGCCGGAGGGGTCCGCTCTGGACGAAAGGCCGCGGAGCGCAGCCGGGGGCGAACCCTCCTGGGTCGGGACCCCCTTTCCCAGCAGAGCCCGGGCTGAGCCGCGTTTGAATGCGCGGGGTTGGCAGAGGGAGGAGTGGCCTTCCGTCCTCTCTCCACGCTTGGCGGGGGGCTCCAGATCCCCACCTCGGTCGTACCGCGGGTCTCGGTGGGGTCCGCATTCCCACGGAGCCTGAGGTCGGTCCTGGGCTCCTCACCCCACCCTGTCCATTTCTAAGATAATAGGGTTCTCCATCCGACTCCTAGGAAGACCCTGGGGGTATGGTGGGTTCCCCGAAAGCTGCAGGCTTGCCGTGGGGGGCCGCGGGGGTCGCTGATGAGAAAATGGGGAGCGCGCACTCAGCCCTGCAGACCCCTGTGGGGGCGAGCGCGGGGCCGGTTGCCATGGCTCCCGGCTGCCGGGTGCGGAGAGTGGTACCAGCCCCGGCGACCCCTCCTCTTTGTGCAGCGCCTCACCCCCCCGTACCCCGCCCCTTCTGTCTCTGTCTCTGTCTCCATTTCTCCTGCGTGGGGAGGGACAGGGAGGAACGATTCATTTGGAGCTCAGGGATTGGAGCGGGAGGCTGGGGGCGTCCGGCCCGCCCTGCGCGCCGCGAGCCGCACCTCCCACCCGGCAGGCTGAGGATCCAGGCTGGAGTCGGCCGGAGCCGCCGCCGCGTGTGCCCAGGTACCCAGGTGCCCAGGTACCCAGCCAGGGGCGAGCGCTGGGGGAGGGGGAGACGCAGGGCGGGCGGGTGGCCGGGAGGGCGGGGCCGGGTCGCAGCGGCAGTCCTCCTGGGCAGGTGCAGAGGCGGCGCGGGGTGCTTGTCGCGGGCGTTCCTGGCTCAGCCCCTGGTCGCGGGCCGCGCGGGGCGCAGCCCGGGGCCTGCCCAGCCATCCCCGCGGGAGCGCGCCGGGGCGGGGGGTTTCACGCGCGCGCGGACTGGACCGAGATTCCCGCACCCTCGCCGCCGGCTCGCGCAGGGCAGAGTCTGGGGGCGCGCAGGTGGGCTGGCCTTCCAGCCGCACCACCTGGGTGACGTGTGACCGTCCGTGCTTCGGTCCTCCTAAGCGATGAGGGACCAGCGGCCTCCGAGTCCAGTGGCTCGGGCCTGGAAGGGGATCAGCGGGCCGACAGTCCGAGCCCCTGTCTGACGCGCGGCGAGCACTCCAAAGTTGGCCACGGTCGCCGGCAGCGCCTCTGCTACCGTGAAGCAGCCCGCCGCTTAGTCAGACGCGCGCGTTCTCTCCTCGCCTCTATTGAAGGCAGAGTTCTGTTTTCTAATTTTAGAGCGTCATCTCCCCAAGTCCCGCAGGGCAGCCTGTCGGGAGGGCGCGCGGGTTCCTAGGAGAAGTGATGGGGAGGGAAGCCGTCGGGGAAAAGCAGCGTCACCTGCACAGCTTGGAGTGCGGCTGCTGTTTCCCCTGTCCGACAAACCTGAGTTCGCGTCTCTCTGACCCCGCTTGGAGCGGGGTTCTGGATTCCTGCGTACGCACAGCTCCCCACACTGTGTCTCCGAGGGCCACCTGGGCCTGCCGCGCGGGAGGCCGTCCCACCTGCGAGCTCCTGGGTGTTGCCGGAGAACCAGTGCAAACAACCTCAACACTAGGCGGCGACGGCGGGGCCCTGGCGACGGTCCGCGCGTGGACCGTGGTGATAATGCAGAGTTTGCGGGTTGTTCTCGGTTGCCTCTGGACTCAGGGGTGATTTCCTCTAAGATGAGGCTGCAGGCGGTTCCTGTGGGCGCTCCGTCCACCCGGTGACACACACACCGACCCAGGGGAGTAGGTTGCGCTTGATATATTCATTACCCTGGAGTTAATTAATTATAATGAATGCGCTGGTTTTAAATAAATTTTAAAATGCCATCTACTTTTTAAGATACTGGCATGTCTTCCTGGATTTAGTCAAGGGAAGCCAGGTGGAGGTATCCATCAGAAGATTCTTAGTAGCTTTTATGAAATAAGGTCTACTTAGAATCATGTTTGCTGGATAGAAACCTGATTTTCTAGCTACATCCAATTCTTTGAAGATAGGAGGTTGTTTGACCCAAAATGGCTTCGTTGAAATCACTGTCTGATTTACTTTGTGGAGAATTGAGCGTGTTATGATCAAACAGGTTTAAAATCCACAATTAAAAAAACATACACATTGAAGCAAAGTTCAGTGAAAAGAAACCATAAAGGGAGCACACCTGACAGACCAGGCAGTAGTCTCAGTGCAGAACTGAGAGCCTGGTCTGCCTTCAGACTGGAGGTTTTTTGGATAGGGATCTAGGCTTCCCATTCTTTCTCCTCCTCCCTCCTTCCTCTTTGCAGGGTGAAGGGATTCCTAAATCCCTGCCCGGACTTAATAAGAGCCCTGTGGCATAGGGTGCAGAAGGTTCCCCTGGGGAGGGGTAGAGACCCACCCTACCCAGTTATTGACGGAAAGTCAGTTCTTTAGATACGGAGTTCTGGCTTGCTTCTACATTTTTCCTCTTTTCACCTCACAGAAATTCCCATTTTTTCCTTTGGCCCCTCCTAAACACATAAGCTTATGTCTACCCAGCTGCATTAACATTCCCCTCTTGAAGAGACTCGTAATCTTTTGGGGGTAACGAAGTCCATCTCTGTGTTTTCTTTGGAGCTGAGGGGGCGTAGAGCTGTCTGTGGGTTTCCTCTTGCTGTCTGTCCTAAGGCGTGGCCTTGGAAGAGATTGGTGCAGTCCAGAGGGCTGATCACATGGTCTGGCAGGATGGATTAGAAGCCCTGCCCCACCATCATCTGGAGCTGGAAGGTTTTTATTCTGTTAGAGACAAGATGAAGGAGGGCAATAAAGGCACATGGTATAAAGAGAAGCAGTGGTTTTTAACTGGTAGAGGAATCAGGTGTGAAGCAGCAATGTCAGGAAACACTGTATCACTTCAGGTGGCAAGTGTCTTGCTTCAGGTATGGGTTTTGCAAGACAGCTCTCCCGTCTTCACAGTGACTGTGTCACCTTTAAAAGGTACCTGTAGGGATCTCTGTGACGGCATGTGAGAAATTCACGTGGACATATACATATCGTTTCGCAGGAGTTTTGGAATTAGATATTTAATTTATTGGAAATTTGCCTTTTGATTATGGCAGCCAATAGTGGGATAGAGTCGAATATTCTTTAGAAACAAAAATTTGGCTTTCACTGTTTTATATTTTCTCCAAAAATCTAAGGAGTTATGTATCCAGAAGCCTCAAGTTAGGCTCAAGATGAAGGGTCACAGTGGAAACACATGAGACTCTGGAGGGTGAGCCCAGAATTTGGGGCACGAATTGACATGCAGAAGTGTCAGGAGAGGATGTACGTCTCACTGAGCGGAGGCTCTTCTCCATGGCACACTGCAATGTCTGATTAAATCAGTGCTCGTTGTTATTTTTTTAGACTGAGAATGCTGTATTTTCAATTATGAACATTTTGATTACAGCTTCATTCTAACTAATTCAGCCTGAAGAGAATGCAATTATTATGGTGATTTACATACAATATGCTAAGTTAACACAGCAAATGAGTGAAAGCATAATATTCTTTCTATTCATTCCCACAAAAATATTATGCTGAGCTTTCTTTCAAGGAAAAGATTACACGATCACCAGCATATCATGTCGACCTACAAGTAGAATTGGCACTGAGCCGTGCTCTCTGCTGTGGAAGTGAAATCTCTCAGGTTTTGGTGATCACTGCCTGTCCAACCCTCCTGGAGGAGTCGGGGAGGACTTGAAACGATCCTCCAGTTAATTAGATGTGGCGCTTCCTCCTTTCTGTACATCTTTATTGGAGGAAAGATTCTGTATTTTCTAATTTTGGAGGCTGGCTAACACCTTAAACATTACTAATTACTGCAGTTTATTTTATGTGTGTCGCAATAGTGTAGTTAGTTAATTACAGCTTTCTCATTAGCACCATGTAGAGAATAATGAATTAACACATCCCTATGATCAAAAGAACATCTAAGTTTATCTTCTGAGAATAAAAGTGTTATTGTGTTGCCTAAAGTCACTATAATTTTCTCAGGAAACAAATTGGTGGAATTCTGTAGCCCGGGTTAGGAAGCTGATGGATGATCTGCACTGATCACAAGCAGGAGAGAGCAGTCTTGTGGTTGCTTGGCAACCCAGCATTATTCTGCAATTTCTTCTGGTATATTTATCCAGTAAACTAGAAAATTCTGTTTTGTTAACGAATGTTTTTAGTCAGTGCACAAATAGACCATAGCTAATTGAGATTTTATGTATTGTGGATAAAAAATGACCCTTCTTACCTTCTCATTGTGTTTCGATAACAAAAATACAAAGAGGCATATTCCATTTTCAGTTTTTAAAGTTTTCTCTAGGATATGCTTATTTTGTTTTCACATAAATTTGCTCCTACCAGAAGAATATAGCTCAAAGATCTCTTTGAGAGTCAAATTATTTGAAATGTAGGTGTTTGCGTTTGCACAAATAATTTCAGTAAGAATCAGAAACAGCCTTTGAGGTGAGGTTTTCTTGATGACCTGACAATTGGGCAAATTTAAAGTCCGTATAAATATCTGATTCAAGTGGTGCTGGCAGATAATGATAAGAAAAATAAGTGCATTGAATCTGGCAGATCTGTAAGTGCTCTGTGTGTCTTGACCAGGTTTTCTTCTGGGGTTCTTCTTGCATTTCCCTTCTGAGGGCTGGGTGCCACTCATTCCTCTGTTGGTGGAAGTGGGAGGGAAGCAAAGCAACCGATTTCCCACCTGCTGACCCACATCCTCCCAGCTCCAGGGCCTGCAACCAGGCCGTTTTCCTACAACCTCTGAATGCCTGTGTGCATTCCTGGTTTCCTCTGTGAGTCCCTTTGGGGACCTCCTGCTATTGCCTGCATCTCCTAGGCTCCAGCAGCGCCTGGC